CGAAACATTCGTATCGAAACCTCTCTAGTAGATGTGTTTTAAAATCGTAAGACTGATGGCGATACGTAACGAACCAAAGTAGATAATATCTATTAATGGTGGACTTGTGCTGTTATAGTTTCTTTCCTTAGTTATATAAATTAATAAGTTGTTCATCTCGGTATCACTAATCAACTAATTAACAATTTATTTTTATGTTTTATGATCCAATCATAAACTAAACTAAGTTCAGAGTTAGTTAGAGGGTGAAGTCGATCTCATTATTTTAGTCTCGTTGTAAAGCTTCGTTTCACTATTATTTGAAAGGGGCAATCTAGCAGCTACCGTGAGAACTTTTTTTTTCTTTTTCTGAAAAGATGTCATTAACGAAAGAAATACCTCGTATTTTGAGATTATAACACAAACAGATGACAACCACAAAACTTATGTACAAGCAATCGAAAGAGACTCACCAAACCAGACTAAAGAGAACAAAACTAACACGTAAATAATCCAAGGGAAAGAATTCAAAGTCACGACCCTCGTTAGATGCCTTGAGGTAAGTTGAACAATAGAGGAACACATAAGACTTTATGTCCTCAAAAGCACGCTTGGGGGCTGGTAAAAGTAACACCATATTTACGAAGTTTAAGCTCCCACCATAAAGAGAGAAGTCATCCCATACGAGAACTTCCACCCCAATTGCAAGCATTAAACGGGTAATCAAAGTAGGAGTGTTAAAAAAAAACATAAACTCTCGTGGCTTTGATTTGAGCTTTCCCAAAATGCCTCATATGATTGGAGAGATTATTCCTTAATTATAAACTCATGATTCTTTTCTAAATTAGCAGATGTGGGACTTTCATCCTCCAACAAATATTATACCAGGAACGAATATGATCCCACTTATGCAACCATCTTATATAACTGGGCGTGCCAAAAAAACGTCTAGAATATTACCTCCAAACCGTAAAATTCTATACCCTAAGGCAACTTAGGATTCCTAAACGCCGAGACACTCACCTACTATCTATTTAAAAGCATTTAAGGGCTGTTTAGTTGAAAGTTTTGTTTATAACATCTGGAAAAAGAATGTCTCGGAGTAGAATAACTGTGTTCAGGGTTCAAACCGAGAATTTTTATTACAAAAGACAATTACAACATCTCAAATTAAGCCTAATTATACTTAAATTAAGCTTAATTAAGCTAAAATGATGGTTGGATTAAAGGAAGCAAAAGCAAGAAATTGTTGATCATTTTCCAATATGTTCATTTCATCCTCATCCAACATTATCCATGCTTCAAGCCCATCTCCCAAAATCCCTTCATTCAAAACGACAACGTTCTTCAGCACTGAATTTTCAGGTCCTGCAAAGCTCACCCATGAAGCCTTTCCCCACCCAAAATCAACCTCGTTTAGCCCCATATTTCGCCAGCTCGTAAACCCATATGAATATGGCTTTGAAGAATAAAGCTCCTTCATCCTCATGAACCATCTTGATATTCCCTCAAACCCTTCTTCTCCCGCCATTTCTCGTATGAACCCGTCGTCGATCTCCGCAACCGATCGCTGAACTAGATCAACCAGCTCGCTCAATTCTATCTCGGCCTTCGGTGTGTCGTAATGAGCAACCGCACTCCAGAAAATGTTTCCAATCGAGGTCGCTGGTAATGGCGGGGCCATTCTTCGCCGGAGGTCGACTGCATGAGTCAGTACCTACCAGAAGTTTAAGAATATTTTTATTAATTTATGTTAAGAATGAGATACATTAGTGGGATTGAGAGTATCACTTTTGTTTCTCTTTCTTAATATGATATCATAGCTGTGAATATAATAAGGATATGTTAAATCAACCTCCAAAATTTTTGAAGCTCAATTTGGTTGATTCCGTCTAAAGAAAATTTTGATATTTAAGAACACTAAGATCCTGCTTGGACACCATGTTAAGAATGAGTAACCAGTCGGTTTATCATTATTAACATAGTATCAGGGTGTGAATGTAATAAGGATAAGGATAAAAATGCGTTAAATCAACTCTCGAAATTTTGAAAAATGAAATTTTGATATTTAAGAACATAAAAATCGGTGCTTTGATATCTCGGAATTTTAAATCATTACCGATGATCGTTGAGAACCCGTGCTTTGTCTTGCAGCTATCATCATATACTTCCATATGAAACCAGTGACCACTTCCACACTTGTGGGAACCTTGTCACTCTTCCTTTTCACTTCCGCTTTCAGCTCGGAAATGGCGGCGCCGTCAAAAACAAACCTTTTTCTGCAAATCCTTCCTTCCCCTACAAATGGCGAATACCCTTTTGAAAGCCATGAATTTTCCACCAACAATTCTCTCCCCGGGAACATTGCCGCCACGCCGTATTCCGGCTGTTCCCCTCCTCCCTTCTCTTCTGTTGACCCGCCGGCCATGGACGCCCACCTCCTCAGAAAGCCGCTCAGTGTTGTCCCGTCGATGATCTTGTGTAAAAAACAGACCCCCACTGCCACCCCGCCGCCAACAAAGGCGTTGAGCTGGACGGCGACTTGAGGATATACTTGGTAGATCCAAAAATTAAAAATTTATGTTAATTAATATATATTATATATATATATATTAACATAATTTTTTTTGGACGAGTGAGCTGAATTGATAACTCGACCTAATCAAATTTTCACAATCCAATCTAACCTTTTATTTTCAGGTTGGATTCAGATAAAAAAATTATTTATCCACAATTCTTAATTATTCGATCCAATTTTAGATAATAGATTTTAAAATTCATAAAGAAATACAAATATTTGGATAAACACAAAAAATAAATAAATAATAAATTCATTAATAAAAACTATCAACCATATAATTAAACATAAACATAATTAAGAATTAGTTACTCTAAAAATGAAAATATAATATAATAGTATATAATAAAATTAAAAAAACAATAAAAATGATTAATTTAAAAAATTATATCTAACAAAATAAAAAATATAAAAATATTTTACTCAAATAGACTGGTATGACGTTAATGAACCAATCCAAAATCGAACCGAATCAATTTGGTTCAAAAAAAGGAACCCAGCCTAATTCGAAATACGAGCTCAATTCAACCCCTATAATTTGAGTTTTGGTACGGGTTATCGGGTTGAATGTACACTTCTAACATGTATAATTAAAAATTAGAGTTATCTTACATGCTTCCATGGTGGACGACGATCTGGTTTGCATGTATCGGAAAGGGATGAGTTGACTCAACGACTCAAAACTCGGTTGGTTCAAGAACTGGGGCATGGTGTGATGAACTCTAGCAACCTGAAAGAGGGCCCCGACGCCATTGTCGAGGACGTGTGTGTTGTCTTTGATGGCGCCGGCGAGAAGGTAGAAGTCGGAGAGGGCACGGGAGAGGGAGACTTTGAGGGGATGGGAGAGATGGAGAGGGTCATGGGAGTGTTTGAGAGAATAGAAGAAGAGGAGGGAGGTATAAGTGAAGGGAGAGAGCTGATCAATAACTGAGAGTTTTAAGGATTTTGGAGATGGTGGGAAGGATGATGGTTTGATAGTTTCACTTGATATTATCTCCACCTCCATGCCTTCCTTTTAGATCAACAATACACCCATTTTCTATATATATATATATATATATATATAAGTTTAGTCTGTATCGAGTAAGCACGGTAGGTCTAGGGTCGAGGAACTTGAAATTCTAATTTTTTCAGTCGAGCAAAGTAGTTGAACCTGGTGACGAATGAGATTTGTTGTTAAGTTTATAATTTATTGTTAACGTGGTTCATTCACGATATTAAATATGAATCATATGGTTGGTGGAATTAATTTTAAATTTGCTTTTTTTTTTTTTTAATGGTCTTTTGTCTTCCTCTTAAAATTTTCTTCTTTCTCTTTCTTCCTATTTCTCGAACCTTAAGTACATCTAAAAATATATTTCTTCAAACTTTGGATAAAAAAAAATTATTTAGTTTAGTCTCCCTGAAACGGAGGTGATCCAGCCGCACCTTCCAGTACGGCTACCTTGTTACGACTTCACTCCAGTCACTAGCCCTGCCTTCGGCATCCCCCTCCTTGCAGTTAAGGTAACGACTTCGGGCATGGCCAACTCCCATAGTGTGACGGGCGGTGTGTACAAGGCCCGGGAACGAATTCACAGCCGTATGGCTGACCGGCGATTACTAGCGATTCCAGCTTCATGCAGACGAGTTGCAGCCTACAATCCAAACTGAAGACGGGTTTTTGGAGTTAACTCACCCTCGCGGGATCACGACCCTTTGTTCCGGCCATTGTAGCACGTGTGTCGCCCAGGGCATAAGTTTGTTTAAAATTTTGATCAATTTATAAGCATAATGGTAAAAACATTGAACTCATAAAGGTGATAAGTTAGAAACTAAAATAGAACTAATTTAAAATATTAGAAATCAAAATAAATAATTTAAATGTAAAAAAATTATAAAAATTATTATTATTAGTTGATTAAGAAGATAATACTAGTTTATTTTATAATTATATATTTTGTGGTCCAAATACCCTTTAAAATACTAATTAATTTGTTATTTAGATATCAACACAATTATTTTAAAACAAATATGAGGTAATGTTTTGTTTTTGTTATGACTTAAAAATTATAATAGGATGGTTGTAGCTGAGAAGCAACAAAGACATCTCGGTTGGCGATAAGGATTTTTGGAGAACGAAAAAGAACACCAACAGTTGCAATGGGGTATTTGTCGAGCCACACAACATTTAATCGATGAAAATCGAAACGTAAAGACATGTTTTGAAGTATCCAACCAATGTAAAAGATGAATGGAAGGATATAGAGGGATGAAAATAATGCCCTCCTGTCCTAAGATGAACAGGATTGATAAAGAGGATGAGATAGATTTGGAACATCAAGAAAGCGAGCAACTCAATCATAAACTAAGTCATCACAACAACCGAGAGCAATGAATAAATTTGTTTATCCGAACCCAAACCCGAACCCGAACCCAACCAGAGTTGATGATAAGATATAAAAAACGAACCCATATCCATTAATATAAAAAAAAGTGAGGGAAAGCAAAGCAAAGTCATGTCTCGGCCCCAAAGACATTTGTTTAGAGAACCGAGGGCTACACCAACAGGCGGCAGCTACACAAGAAGAATTGCTTACAAGAAAAGAAAGCAATCTTACAATACTCAGTCCAACCAACCAACCAACCAACCAACCAACCAACCAAACATGACTCCAGGATCTTCAAGAAAAAAACAATAATAGTTGGAATAAATAATGAATATTATGAATTCTATATGGTCACTATGAACCCAAGTTTATGTTGCAATGAAGGCGTTGACATAATATATATCAACAGTGAGGAAGAAGGAAGAACATAAATTCAGATCAATTTACTTCACGGTTCCGGAGCATGAGCCGGGGCAGGAGGCCTTAGAAGCGGCTGGAGAGCCTTAACGACGATGCTCATGTTCGGCCTGAACTCCGCTTCGTACTGGACACACAGAGCTGCTACAGCAGCCAGCTGCAATAACAGTAAAACCAAGTCAATGTCACAGTAATATTTGACCATTTTGCTGCAATGCTGTTCAAACACAAGTTACCTTGGCAACTCCTTTGGGAGGATATTCACCCTTCAGCCTTGGATCAACACATTGTTTAACTTTGTCTTCACTTAGTCTTGGGGTAGCCTTAAAACAAACCAAAAACCATCGTTTTACACTTCTAACTAAAACTCCGATACCCGAAAAGCAATAAGAAAGCAGGCAAATGAGTGAGTGCTTACCCAAGTAACAAGACTCTGCTGCCCACGAGGCATGGTGTGATCGACAGGTTTCCTCCCGGTCAAAAGCTCGAGTAGAACAACTCCAAAGCTGTAGACGTCACTCTTCTGTGTCAACTGTCCAGTCATTGCATACCTAGAGAAGAGAGGACTTGAGCATCAATAATACAACACTTCATTCATGGCTACTTACCCAATTTCTAATGACCAAAAAGCATTACTCTGGAGCATGATAGCCAAAAGTTCCTAAAACTCGAGTAGAATGAAGTCGAGCAGCCATGTCAGGAGCCTGGTTTGAAAGGTTAAAGTCTGCAATCTTTGCTTTGAAGTCTTCAAAGAGAAGCACATTGCTGGATCTAACATCTCTATGAATGATAGAAGGTTGAACTTTCTCGTGCAAGTATTCCAATCCTCGAGCTGCATCAACCGCAATTCTCACACGCTGTATCCAATCAAGCACGGGACCTGGCTGTGCCCCTTGCACACCCTTTCTACCTGTGTAGGACAACGACTCGTGAGACTAACTGGTCTATATGAAAACTGAACTTAATATGACAGCGTACCATGCAATATGTCATGTAGAGAACCCATAGTTGCAAATTCATATGCAAGTACACGGAGGTTTCCTTCAACACAATATCCATGCAATTCAACAAAATTTTCATGTTTCAACCTTGAGACTGTAGAAACCTGAAGCAATACCATAAACAAGAAGGAATTAGGATAAGATAAGTTCGAGTTGAAATGTGCTATATCTATATTTGTAGACAAACCTGAGTCAAGAAGTCAATACTCGAATCAGATTCAGAGGAAACATCCAGCTTCTTTACCGCCACAGATTTCCCATTGTTTAAGTTAGCAAAATAAACTCGACCATAAGATCCTTCGCCAATCAGTGCCTTGGACCCAAAGTTGTCTGTTTTTTCTTTTAGTTCTTCCAGAGACAATGCTGGCACTTCTATGGGAGGTGGAGATTTTGGGGCTTCATATGGGGCAGGAGCCGACTCTTTCGAGTCCCGTCGATAATAACCTAAAAGGCATAAAATATATGTTGCAAGAGATTCCTTCGAAAGTATATAACACGAAATTAAATCACACGAAGACGAGCCATAAACAAGGCAAAAGTTATTAAATCCAAGAAGAACATGATACAAGATAAATCATAGACAAGACAGAGTTACACAAGATGATCCCGAATAGCGGTTTGGGAACATCTAGGAAGACGCATGTGGAAATGCTCCAATAGAAATTGACTCGAGCTCCTGCAAAGAACAACTTCCACAACACTAGAAATCCTACATATTAGAATATAAGGTTTTAAAATTGAGCCTATTTTCTTTCATGGATCTTGCCACTTAGAACTAGTAGGTATGTCCATCTTTCTTTGGATCCCGTTGATCTAAAAGACAAAAGACATACATCAAAAATCGTTTAGATCCGAACTGGGCTCTTGAAAGCTCATATGTTGTAGGTGGGAAGATATGGGCTGGAAAAGCGTGTTAATAATCTCTTAAGCCATTATGCCCCAAATGCTCAGCTAAAATGTCAAACGAAAAGTCATAACTAATAGGAGCACTCAATCCATCTAAGTTGAGTACCCAACCCATAAGCATTGAGATTCACCCTTCCATTTATCTGCATGAAATAGCAAGGCTACGCAATTGCCAAAAGATCACTTATCCTCCCTTCATGGATTTCTTCATTTTTCGTGGCCAAGCAACTCCTTGCCCAAAACGACATGAATTAAGAAGGTAAACGCCTCACATTAACCAAACGCTATCTCAATGGTGAACACTCGACTTCCTTCTCGATACCTCAACTTCCTAAAACTATATATATTTTACAAAATATTGATATCTCAAACACTTCAGACTAAATAGATAACCTTCATTACGAATCATATAAAATGGCATAAGCATCAAATGATAGATTAGAGTATTACCATCTCCATAACTTCGTGGGCTTTTCAGGTGCTCACTTTCTGCTAATGGGTAGGCTTCCTCAACTTGACAAGTACAACAAAGCCACCTGCGCATTCTATCCCTTTTACTTAGATATATATTGTCTTTAAAACCTGTATTCTTCAAATCTACGAAACCAGGAGGAGGGGCATGCGCCTGCAAGTAACCAAAAATCCAATAAAAAACAATTCTTTTGGCATCTTGTCAAACGGCAATGATCTATGAAAGATCTTTTGGCATTGTGTTAACAGCAAAAACAAAAACAAAAGAATTGTTTGCTTTCTTTATAGATGAGAAATAAGGAGACAATTAATTTTTTTTTTTTTGTTCATGGTGGGGAAAAGAAAAGCGACAAAAGAGCAAAAAAGGGGGAAATGTTCGGATTCTTTGATGAAAAATGCCTCAGAACATTCCATTCCATCTATAACTATTTGCAAGTTTGTTATTACGGGTAGTTCCTACAAAGGATTGGACGAAGAAGTCTTGTCCGTCCTGGACATCTGCAATGTCCTCCCATGCCCACCCTTAAATGTGATTCTTGAATGGGAAAAAGAGTGGATCTGCAGGATCCCAAATGAATTGGTGAAAGAAGGCTTAGGAGAGCATTGAATTGACTCGACTGCAAATTCTATTTGTTATTAGCAGCTTTTTCTCAATAACTTTGAAATTATTTAATTGTAACACAACTCCAACCCCCACCCTTAAATGTGATCACATCCTTCTTGAACAATCCAACTTCCAGCCATAGTGGAAGAACAGACAATTCCAAATATTTTAAAATAACTTCAATACCCCCAAACCAATATGACGAAAAGGTAAAGAAGATAAGCATATAAATGGAAATTCGAAACACTGATTCAAATGGGGGGGGGGGGGGG